TTTGTAGCTTTAAATATTGTCTTTTACTGATGTAAGCTACCTTGGTCCCTTTTAAGGCAAGAGGATGGGTAAAAATAAAATAAATACTCCATGAAAGTGTGTCCACAATGCGTTGTGTCTGTGTCTATGTCTGTGTCTATCTGTGTGTGTTTGTGTGTTATGTGCTGCTAATATGTTTCCAAGGTATGTAAGATATTTAAGGGGTAGTTTAATTATAGCCCGTGGTGGCGCTGCAGATTAAACCTCAAAAGCCTCTGTGATGCAAGGTCAGAAGACCAGCAGTCGTAAGATCAAATCCACACAACGGAGTGAGCTCCCGTCGCTTGTCCCAGCTCCTCCCAACCTAGACGTTCGAAAGCGTGTAAAAATGTGAGTACCTGTAGATAAATAGGTACCACCTCAGTGGGAAGGTAATGGTGATCCGTGTCTAGTCGTGCTGGCCACGTGACCATGGAAACTGTCTTCAGACAAACGCTGACTCTATGGCTTGGAAACAGGGATGAGCACCACACCCTAGAGTCAGACACAAGTGGACTAAATGTCAAGGGGAACCTTTACCTTAATTAGAGCCAATTTTCACTAAGTTTCCATGGCCAGACAGAGATCTGAACCCTGGGCTCCTGAATCCCAGTCCAGCACTCCACCCACTACACTACACTGCTGCACAATAAACACATTAAATAGTTACAAGACTCTTCAGTGTTTTCCCTCTAAAGAATGAGCTTTATAAGTGAATTACTGGTACTTTCAACAAATAGATATGGAGCTAACATTTTTTAACTAAGCATTTGAGTTCATCAACATCTTCTCGTACCTGCACAGTGAAATCTTATAATTGCATTTCAAGGATCTTATATTGTTTTAATTAGACCTAAGAAGAAGGAAAGACTTGGCGTCATTTGGTAGACAGAACTGTTGGCCATACATTGATCTTATTTGTTCAGGCTTTAAAAAAAGCTTGGTCAATTATCAAACATGACCCAGACAATAATCCTACAGAGTTAAGCTGCTACATGGAGTTAAGTGCTTAAACTCTATTTACCGAAAGGGATTTAAAGTAGCCTGAGAGTGGGATTGTAGGACCAGGTTGGCAACAACATAAAGCTATTTTATGCACTTCTTGCAACTAGGGATTTTCCTTAATACATATCTTCCTGCTCAATATAAAGGATTATGAAAAATAAACTTTTAGTTCTCCAAATCCTCCAATGTGGAGTAAGATTGTTGTGATATACAGTATGGATCTGTGTGGTGTGAGAGGGCTCTGAAGGAGGAAGGAGGCATCTCTGAGACCATTACGTTATTCATACACCACTTATAATTTAGCTTTTCACGCTTTGATTTGTTAAATTAAAAAACAACTCCAATAGAAATAATAACCTGTCTGAAAGCATGCTACACTTGATTCATAACAGGAAAAGTTTTGTCAAGTCAGCTGTGGACTTGGGAGGGTCTTCCATCCTCATCTAATTTTCTCTGTATTTAATTTTCCCTGCTAAATGAGATATTTAAAAATCATTTATTTCTCCCATGTATTTGTAAAGAAGAGGTTTATTCAACTGACAAAGAATGCTTTTTTTTTTACATATATATGTGTTACATTTATATATATAAAAAGAAACACACATATATAAAATAAGTAAAGCAAAAGATGTGAGGAGAACCTTCATAATGTATTTGTGTGCTTAGGTTTAAATAGACAACATTATGCATACACCATTATGCCTGTTGGTTTGAAAACAGTATTACCTGTAATTTAAAGGAGGTGAGTATAGTCTTCTAAATTACACCACATGGGAGAGGCTGAAACAAAAGGGACTATCAAAAGATTTAGAGATGGCTATAGTGGCTAAACACAGCACTCTTTATCTCAGTGCCATCTGCAATGACATAAGAAAGTCATTTCGGCACAGGCAGAAGCGTAAAATCTGTAATAAAAAAGGGCTATTTGGAATAGTAAGTTATTATCAGCTTGAAGTGCTGCTCCAAAATCAGAGCTATTACCGTATATGCTCCCCAAACACTACTCTGCAACCAAGATGAATTTACCTATTACCAGGTTTAGGATAGCAGCTATTATCAAGGCCCCCTTGATTTCTTTCAAGTAGCTCCAATGGAATAAGCCACAAGTGAATAATAAAGATCTTATAATAGCCCTTAAGAATTCTTTATAGGGTGGAAGGCACAGAAATGAACTCTAGAGAGTAAGAGAACCCTCCTCCCTCGGTAACAAAAAATAATTAACCTGACTTAATGCATCTGAGTAGGCTTTCTATAAATCAGACTTTTGTGCTTCAAGAGACAGATTAAAACCTATCCTTTTTAAAAGTATGTAGATATTGTCTCGTAAGTACAAACCGAACATATTTAAATCTGCCGAGGTCTGCAGGCCTTTTTTTTTTTGTGCAATGCTCAATATACTATACTTGAAATAAGACGTGTGAAGTACTACTCACAGTGCTTAGTTTGCTGGAGGTAATAACAATGCGTCTCTCATGCAACATGCTGGCGTAAAGTTGCAGCATGTTGTTCACATCCACAGCAACAAAATACTCAGTAAGGTTTCTCTGTTTAATAAAGAACAAGTCTGTTAACACATTAATAGTGGTAATTGAGTGACAGCTTATAACTGTATATTCTCAAGTGAAAGCAGAAAATGATCTTGCTAAAGAAATATATTTGTAAAATAAGTGTTCTTAACTGAAATTCATCACCTTGTTATCATTAGCAAGATCAAAAAATAATTGTGATTCATGAGGTTCATATTCATGCTCAGTGTAAAATTTTGCCACTGATACAGCTTTTTGTGTTTATCTTATCCAACATAGCCAGTTATTAGAAATATTCTCTTTGTATGCGCACACATGCATATGCATCCTTTCCTCACAGATTCTTTGCATCCACTGCAGGCAATGGTATACTTTTGTTTGCATGAATGCATATAAACTAGTACATGCACAATGCACAGCACAGGGAATTTAAATCCCACTGATAAAGAGTTACAGTTATGAGTTCTACAGACTGGGAAATAGCTATAACTGAGGCATTTTGACTAGTCAATTTCCAGATCCCATTCATTCATTTGAAATCTTTATTAACCTCACATATGCATGTCTCACAAATCCCCTCAAAACTTACACTTTCAGGTATGGTTGGTAATCCAGTTGTATCAGGAGTAATGAAATATGAATGCTGGCCAAGGAAAAACAAAAACACAAAAACATTACTTCAGAAAAGGAAACTTGTAGGAAAACTTGTGTCTTTATGTCATCTGACTTTATTACTTACTCTACTAACAATCAGGAATGTAAGTAAAGAGACTACATGCTGAAAATCAAAGACACCCCTTTTTAAAAATTTAAATTTTTTACTGATATCATGCAGTTTTTTCCATTAAGATGATTTTTAAAAGAAAATATATACCCTTAAAGTATCATTAATTTAAAAGATTGCAAAAGGAATCAAATTTTGAACAGTAAAGTTAGTACGGAAGAGTCATCAGAAGAACAGGCTGAAGGAAATCAGAAGAAAAGACTTAAACTCTCAGATTCTTCTACATCGCTGCCCATCAGCAACTAATTTTAAAGGTGAGCCACTCTGATGAAATCTTGGTAGGAGTTGCCCCTGTTTCAACAAAGTAGACTGTGAACGTGTGATTTATTCACAGCTACCATTCTTACATCTTTTAGATTCTAGATCTCACCTTGAGGCCCTCACTTACTGAGCCTGATAATAGAGGCTCCAAACTGTGAAAACATTTAGGACCAATTTTCACAAAACAAACTTCTCCCCACAGTAGTGTGCCAGAAACGCATATAGATATTATTCAGTTTGATTCATGGACAATGTAAAATATTGTCTGCTTTGTAATTAGATACACCTTAAATTAGTTTCAACAAAGACAGAGTCTTTAAATACATCTGAGGTATAATTGATGAACCGGACAGAGGTGTTTCTCTCTGGCATTCTGCTGCAGTTTTGTTGCTTATGAAACATTCACATCATTTTATTGCCCCTTCCTCTTAAGCTGATGGTCTCAAATGTTGTAACTGTAACCAGCAACTGTCTGAGCACATTCAAAGGGCACTCAGAGTCAGTCAGGCAAGGCAGCACCTGCTGTGGTCCAGACAGTGCCGACATGGTAAGTGGGGAAAGGGGAAACGAAATCTTGAAGACTCATAGCATGTTTTAAGAACCCAAGAAATACTAGGAGTGGAGGCATAAAAAAAAGAAAAGAAAAAGGGAATGCCTCACTGGTCTCTCTCACTCTCTACATTTCAGTTGCTGAGGCTGGCCACTTCTGCCAACAGTGTTATTATTATCTTGTAGACTGATAACTGACATTATTCACAGCCTGACAGCCTATTCTGTTACTAACAAACTATCCTGTTACTAACAAGCCTTCGAGAATACAAACCATTGTCACTTTGTTCATTATATGTATCTCCATCTGGTCACGGGGCCATGTATACATATGATATCTATTTCTTTTTATTTTTCCTAATCTATAAAGTACATCATCACTCTTTATCCTATCAGTTCATGAAACGCAAAGGACTCTTCTGTACATCCACATTTCACAAGCACTTGTTCTATTGAGCATCTTCTTCTTAATAATCCAAACCTCCCATCCATACTGGAGGGGTGACTGTCCGTATGTAACATCCTCCATTCTCAAAGATAGATTAAGGTGTTTGTTACATAGCGTTTTCTTTAACTTCATAAACATTGTTCCAGATATCTCAACTCTTCAGTTTATTTCTATATTACACTGCACGTAATTGTTAATTAAGCATTCCAAATACATGGAGTCACTGGTCAGCAAACAATAATTACTTTTCCATTCTGGATAACTGTACTAATCAGAATTAATTTTGTCCTCATTTGAAATATCAACTTTTCAGGCCCTGTTGAACAGCAGCATGGAAGCTCGTTGAAGATGCATTTTATGAGCCAAGTTCCTGATCTTGCAGGGATGGAAATCCAAATCCACTTTGTCAGTTGATCAGCATAGATAAGAATTAACTGTTTTTGCTACTTCCAAATATGCATGATGCCAATGTTCACTAAGATTTGATCTGTACAAGGATATTTGGGATGCACATATGGATCTGTATGCATGAGGCATTTTTATATGCGTGACAGTTGGTTCATTGGAGACTGACTATGAACATTAAGGACCAATCTCATACTCTTTTTTCTTGTCTTCCATATTTATAGTTTCTTCATCTTCTTCTCCTTTTCCTTTCTCACCAGTTTTTCCTCTTTTCTTCTTCTTATCTTTCTTTGTACATATTCCATTCTTCAAAAACCTCTGGTTTATCGATGTGGCATATAGTGGTTCTGTATCCAAAATTCAAAACATCAGGAAATGATCCAATATAGCTGCACAATATCATGCCAACACTGCCAGCCAGAAAAATAATGCAAAGGGAAGTCTGAATGATGACAATACCCATGTTAGCAGTCAATATGGTTTACAGGATATCCTCTTGGGTTCACTTTCATTAACAAAGAGACATCAAGCAGGAGAAATCCTTTTTTCATCAGCTAACCATATTTTACCAAAACACAAAGCAATTGTCAGGGCTTTTTTCATCTCTCTATGAATGTATACAATGTATCATTTCACAAAGCTTCTGCTGGCAAGCCTGTACTATGCATGCTCAGTCTTATAACAAGGTGACTGTTTTTCCCTTTTGAAAGGCCTTTTTGAGATCAATATTTTAGCTACTGCAACCTGGATTCATTCTAAATTTTGAAAAAGCAGGTGGGGCAAACCATTCTTTTCAAGATAAGCAAAATTAGTATTTTCAATTTATGTGATCTGTTTTAAATCTGGGCTCATTTGGGATCATCTATTTTTGAATGTGGGGTTATAAAACAGTTTAAATTTTTCAAAAAAATGTAACTCAAAAACCCATTGTCTGAATGTCCCAAAATTTGGTACAGATCAAGGGCAGACTATCTGATCCAAAGCCCATTTTCAAAGTTCTAATTTTTGTTTTTACCACCACCATTTTTATAATTATTTTGCAGAATGTTGTTTTGCTATGCTGCACAATATAATATAAATTTATCCAACTGTACTGTCATGTTATATATTTCTTGAAAACTAATTTAAAAATTTAAGATGCACATAAATAATAATTGAGTACTATGGCTGATACACTGGTTTTCTAGTACTAGAAATAAATACTAAAAGTAAAGTTTAAACCATTTGTATCCTGGAAAACTATTCAGGTTTGGAATATTGATATGATCAGAAATAGAAATGTTCTTATCAAGGCAATGAGAGCAATTAGCAGATGGACTTACTGGCATGAGGCTTGATTTATCACCTAATGATCTGGAAACCTCAGGAATTGTTGGAAATGAATAAGGGAACCTTTTTATAGTCCACTCATTCTTCAACTTCCAGTATCATAATCTGCTGATCTGTTCTGTCTCTTGTGACCCATGATACAGAAGAAAAATCTGTGAAATTTCATTCCAAACTAAAAATGACTATTCTACAGCCGTGTTTTCAATTCCACCACTGCTGTAAATGTACTATTAGAGGTTCATGCACAGTACCATCCTATACACATTTACTGAGAGGATCCTTCCAATTCAATGGAGCTTACTCCATTGCAGGATAATTTTGCTGCAATCTACAAATTGAATTCAGGCTCTGTTACATATTCAAACAAGTATTAACAAAGAGAAACTTAATAGATCACCTCCTGCATGTAAACAGAATAATGTTACTTGGATTAAGACCATATTAATGGTGTACTGAATTCTACTAAGAAAAACAAGACAGTCTGCATTATGTAAAAAATTTGTATATCTAATATTTAAAATCAGGTGTTAATGCCTACACATCCTTATCTTTATTCAATGGTATACTTATTGTACAAATTTGGAAATTAATGTTGCATGATCAGAATTAGCCAATAGTTAAGTAAATAACATGCAATCTTCGAAAAATAATTAGACAAGAACAGCTGTTTTTCTCTGGCATACAGAGTGACTTAGAGAATTCACAGAACATAGAAAGAAACAGAAAGTGGGGTAAGATATTTTGTAATCAAAACTCCAAATTATTCCCAAAATTTCAGAAAATTTCTGTATGTAGTATTTTTGGATTAAAATTATGTGTCTTAAGTATTCAAGAAAAAAGGGAGAGAGAAAATCCAAAGGTGCAAACATCTAAAATTCATTTGAAAAATCTGACTTATCATTATTGTGATGTACTTTTGTTTAGGAATATATAAAAATTAAAGCAACATGCATATCTCTGTTGCTCACTGGATTTAAAATAATTAACATGGTACTTTTACATTTCCTTTTGCCATTTAGTTTATATCCTACAGTTTTTTTTCTCTGACTAATAACTAGTCTATATTTTTTTGAGACAGCTGAATTTGGTCATATAAAAGCAAAATAGTATGCCTCTGCTGAGTGGTTATGATGAAAACAGCATATACCACTGACATATCAATGAATAAATGATGGTGAGACATTGTTCACAAGCTGCCAACAAGGCCATGTGTAAATATATTCAGCGAAAATAATACATGTTTATTTTGCTTTTCTGAAAGGATCTTATCAAAGTATATAAACAACTGAAATATATAACAATGACTCCATTTGTTTCGTTTCTAACAAAAAGGCAGTAAATATACTCTGTTAAATGTTTAATACATAATTAGCACATAGGAGTACCAAATTTGGTTTACTCTAAACAGAAAATATATTCAAGGAGATTTTCTCCTTCAGACCAAATTCGCAACATCATAATTTTTCAGGGAACACTTATGAATCACTAGCAGTCAACAGAGATATCATTTGGCAGGCAATTATTTCTTTCAAGAAGGGCTGTGAGCAGTCAAAGCATTTTAAACTCACCGCTGTTAAACATGGTTGACTTTTCAAAACTTGCTTACTTGCAAAAATCACCTTGTTCTTTTTTCCAACATAAGAAAGAAAAGTGAACATATTCATTTGTGGCACCCAATGAGCTGAATTTAACCTTGCCAAACTGTTGTCTTCTGAAATAATTTTTCTCCGTTCCCTTTCACAATGTTTTGAAATAAAAAGTGAACATCTGTATCAATTTACCTTTTTATTGTCAAACAACTATATGGGCTTCCTATTTCCGCAGAAGAAACAGCAGTGTGTACACCAAAGAAATACGGGAAATTAGCAAAGCAACAGATGGAATGGAAAAGAGCCAACACACTTGATAAGGTTGTTGGGCATACAATCAGGTTTGGATGTGCAACCCTGATATTTCCGGTTGTATGTTAAAATTAACACTAAATCTTGGAGGCTAGATTGGTATTTCCCTCTCTTTTTGAGGGCCTGTAAAAAAACCCAGTAGTGTCATATGAGGAACAAAAAGAAATTATTTTCCAAAGCTAGTTAACCAACAGCTAATTATAGTGTGAAAGTCCCAACAATGTTAAGCATGAAGCATTGCATTTTTAAATTATTTACATGTTTGTACAAAATCCCTCATTCTACCTCCAGGTACAACAGCTGAATTCTACATCACAATATCCATTTAAGGGCTAGCTCATTTGGCCAACTGATTAGCTAAAAGAACTCCCATTCTCACATACTTTATGTACAATTGGTATTTGTTTATGAGCCTCAAAGAGAACACAGTTTGGCATCCAGATCCCCAAAGCAACTATGTGGCACAGACAATTAGAAAGGGGGAAAATTAATACAGCACCAAGCTAATTAATGAAAGACCGACAGAGAACTGTTAAACATGAAGTTCCAAACTGCCAGCTTTTCTAGCACTTTTCAGAAGCTAATTATGAAACACCTACTAGAACTGTACAAATAATAACTTGTATTTGAACAATTTGAGCCTTTGTGTACCATCAACAAAATTAGTGCCCATGTTCTATTAATAAGCCTCTGCTAAACAGAAATTGGCGGTTTACAGGTAGCCCTCACTAATTTCATGTGTTTATACATTTTATTTATTTAAAGTATTTAAATATTTGTGTGCGAGGGAAAAAAACAAAAGAGATAATAAAAGCTTATGGCATGCATTTGGAGATTTCAGAGAATGCACCAGTGACACAATAGAATTATCTTACAATCGAGATCTAATGTTTGACATCAAACCATCACGAAGCTGACATGAGAGCACAGCCTGCAAGAATATGGGCAGGTTGCTTACCTGTAACTGTAATTCAAGTGGTCATCTGTGAATTCACATATGTGGGTTCTTTCTGAGCCTGTGCAAAACTCCCTCAGAATATTCCAGAGTCTAGAAGTCCTTTAGCCTGACTCTCTGCACTGCACATGCTCCACCCACCCTGTGATGAATCCTCAGTTCCCTCAGCTCACCATTGTCAAACAAACACAATCCGGTGTGACAGACTGAGGGGAAGATGGGCAGATTGTGTGAATTAACAGATGACCACTCAAAGAACTATAGTATCTATGAATCACACATATGGTTTAACTAGCAAGCTCACTTACCAATGGGATGCCTCAAAAAACAGAAGAGATTACCAGTCTGCTAAAGGTAGCATTGAGTTTGGTCTGACATAAATATCAAGGATTGTGACCATGTGGCTCCTTACAAATGCTAGTTAGTTGAACCCCCTTCAGAAAGGCTGTGGAGGTAGTAACCGTTCTCATAGAGTGCACACACCATTCTCATAGAGTCTGGGAGTGGCTTATTGGTTAGTTGGTATATAAGTATAATGGTGTTGATGATCCATTCCAAAATACACTGAGATGTGATCTGCTCGCCTTTTTAAGGTCTCTAATAGCTGACAAACAGCAGATCTGACTTTCAAAAATGTGTTTCTGGAGGTACAGAATACAAAAACTCTCCAAACATCCTATGTATGTCCAAATGTAGGCCCGAGATGGGGAAAGGGGAAAAGGTTGGCAGCATGGGAGGTGAAAGTCCAACACCACCTTAGAAAAGAAGGCTAAATCTGGGAAGATAGTAACTTTATCCTTATGAAATTGTAAAATGGGTGGATCATGTCTCAGGACAGCAAATTTACTCACTCTCTGAGCTGAGGTTATGGCTACAAGGAACAGGGTCTTAAATGATAGCAGCTTGGGATCTGCTGTTGCCAAAGTTTCAATTGGTTTTTTCATGAGCTGCTTGAGGACTAAGGGGAGTGATCACTGCAGCAGAGGAGATTGTACATCAACATAAACGTTTTCCAGGATCTTTAGGATTTTTTTTTCCAGGTTCGAATGTTGAAAGGAACTAGAGGTTGTTGAGTTTTTTTGACTGATGTGCTATTATTAATTATAGGTTTACCTTAAGGGAAGAGTGAAAGAGGCTGTGCTGCTTCAGATGTACTAGGAAGCATATCACAGTATAAAGACTAGGTGGTAGATAGGGCACTATTTTAGCCTTTGCAAAGTTCATGCATCTCTTGGGTGACTAAGGCCACAGCCTCTTGTTGAAGCGTCAAGGCTAAGGCAACTTATCTTCTGGAAGACTATTGATGGGGGCTTGCTTTTGCCCAAAGAAATATGTGGTACATATACCCAATGCAGTGGTTGAATAAATCCTTCTGCCAATCATATCAATCTTACATTGATACTTGTTACTTGACCTAGTGTTACTTGATCTAGACTGGGAGGCCTCCACAATTACTGAATTTGGTTGAAGGTGCTTAGAAAGGATGGTGTTGTCCTTCTCTTGGATTTTATAGAGATTCTCAACTCTTCTAGAAGTTGGTGGTAGCCATCTGGTATACCAGGTGACTGAAAGTCCTTGGGGAGGGTGGATTTGTGTTCCCAATGTCTGACTCTGGGGTAGTAACCAGAACAGATGGGCGTCAGCGAAGCAGTCATTATTAGAATCTGAGCTTCATGAATGTGAGACAAGATTAATGTCTTGGTCTCCTTTCCTCAGGGATGCTGGCTGAATGACCCCTTAATGAGCAGTCTCATACAGCAGTTGTTAAACTGCAGAACTGCAGTCAAAAATCTGCTCACAACCCAGAGTCCAATCCCAGCTGAAGGTTCACTCATCCTTCCATCCTTCTGAGGTTGGTAAATTGACTACCCAGCTTGCTGGGGGTGTGTGTGTGCAATGTGTAGCCCGCAGAATTAAATTGCAAACCACCCACAGAGTGCTTTAAGCACTAAGGGGCAGTACATAAATGGCACACTTGGCTTTGCTTTCTGTTCAAAGAAGATGGAGTAAGTCTGGTAAGTTTGTCTTTGTTTTGATGCTAAACAATGGAGTCCATTTCCACCCCCATTGATACTTTTGTTGATGATTCTGAGGATAGTCTTGGTTTCAATTATCTTTCTGCATTGACATGCTGTGTTTCCGTGTGTTTGCAAATGGAAGGTGTCCCCAAGAGTAGAATGGGATGGCATGAGAGATACTTTTAGTGTTAATCAGTTCAGAAGAATTTTGAAGGAGGCAAAAATGAGTGTTGATAACAATGCCTAGCCTACTGTTCCAAAGGTTTCAGAATTGTCTTGGGTTTCTGTTTTGGAGTTGGCATTGCTTTTGTAGGTTATTTTGGAACTGAACAGGTTCTTGAAACTGATCTGGATGAACTTATATTAGAAGGTGTCATATGACTGCCAGTATGCTTCGGTGTCAGCAACTTCAAAACCAAGCAAAGCATGTTATGATTAGGGTTGCTATGGGGGCAGGGGGGCCCTTGTGGTACTGGTGATGTAGAAACCAACTGAAATGAGATTCGATCAATGTGAGACTGATCTACTCAAGATCTCTTTTGTGCCAAAGATCTAGAGGCAGATTTCGAGGAGCCTGGTACTGATCTGGTAGGTTATGTGTAATGGAGAAGTTGTGGCAGTGGCTGAAAATGTCAATCTGGCCCATGAAAATAGTGCGCCATGACATCATAATACAGAGAGCAAATCACAGTGATATGAGGGCAATGTGATTTGCAGGGAGGAGAAGACCTCTCCCAACTGTGGACACTGTAGCTGATTAGGACTGGTGGAAAGGTGATCAACCTCAATGGATGCACCAAATTTGGCAGCAGGAGGGCTCTCACCAAGTGGGGAGAGCTTTTCCAAGTTTGAGATTCAAAATTGAACTTTTGCCCCTAAGGCTAGAGCCCGGACTTGCAGAACCCATCCGGTCCTACAGTTAAAGCACATGGAGGTTTCCTCTTTGGCTCCAAGCTCAACAAAATGGGCTACAATAATAGTTCACATATGCATTCTAGAGGAAAGGAAGGGGGAAGCATATTCAAATGATGAATTAAGATAGATCAAACATGGACTTGCTATTCTCTTACTTCCTGCATTTTCTTTAGAACACCCATCCCACACCTAGAGAGTCAAGAAAATATAATACAGTATGCCTATCTAATCTTGGCCCTAGTGCACCAATTGTTATAACACAATAAAACATAGTTTCACCGCTTTTCTAATACTTTATTATGAATATATAGATATTTCTACAATATTGCTAATACTTACCAAACTTAAGCTAATAGGAGTGTTTGCCACTGGCATAGGATGGTTGTACCAGGTTTCTAACAAGTCATTCAAGTCATCTTCCTATGGAAAAAAAGTAACATTTTAAAAATATATTCAACCCCATATAAACATCAGTCACATTCAGGATGATTCAGAGGCTTGGGCATATGTACAGTTACCTTCTATTTCTATTGTGCCCCAAAAGAATTCCAGAACTCTCTCTCTCTTTTTTTTAAATAAACTCTCTCTCTCTCTCTCTTTTTTTTTAATAAGTTAAATGGATCATGACCACTGCATTTATAAAAAACATATAAGGGACAAACAGCTAGAATCATGCAGGTGTTTGGCGAGGTTGTGTAACTTGCTGCAGCTAACTGCTGATAACTGACAAGAAGCAGGGAAGTGTTTCAGTTGTCTGCCTGGTCACTTCCAGATATGCCCTGGCATCTCCTCAATTTACAGCAACCAGCTGTGGTAAGTTCCACAAATGTTACATGAACATCAAAATGAGGGCAACTTCTATATTCAGCTACTTGTGCACAGTATATTCCCAGCTGCAAGCTTCTCTTAGAAGTATGCTATGAAGCCCCAATATTTTCCGGATTTCCTAGCTTGTAGCACAAGAGACACGGCATTTAAAATAGGTTCCATCAATAAAGAGCAAATTATGTCCATATACAGTAGCTGAAATCCTGTTGTGCCGCTATGCAAAAGGTATGACTTTGGGGGGGCACATTGCCTCAAGTTAAGATATTTTAGTATACATTATCTGTTACACAGAGTCGTGCAACTTGGTATGAAACAAATAATGTCTACAGAGATTTCTTAATTTAAGGCAATTCACATTCAAAAGCTACTTCTTTTGCACAGCAGCATAACAGCATTCCAACTAATGACATATACCATTACAGTTTATTTCTAACTGAACTGAAAATTTTTGCAATACAATTACTATGAAATACTTCTGGAAGCTATTAATACAATGTTCATAAAGAAATTTAAACAGTAACTCCATAGGGGTTGATTCTTGGTAAAGTTATAGTCTAAGAGTCGTTCTAATCAAGCTGCTCCACAGCTTTATGGAAAAATTCTAAACTAGGTTGTCTTAAATCACTTAATAATCAACACAAAGATATATTGTATCTAGTTATAAGATTAGCAATTTCACACTTGAATTCTTAAAGAATCCAGATGAGTACCATCTGGGTGATTTATTTTTGATTTGCCAGGGTCTAGAACTTCCTATCTTCTTAATACAGTTGATGTCTACTCCTCAGTCTACCTTCCTGAAAATATAAGTTCAGATGTTGCCAAGTAGGTTTTGCCTGCTGGACAGATCATCTTCATCTTAGAACTGCAGAGGTGGAAATAACTATATGGATCATCAAGTCCAACCTCTGTAAGGGAGGCACAATGGGGAATCACACTCTCAACCTCTATCTCCTCAGCTAGATACCTAAGCCACTGAGCTATCCAGCAGATGTTCTCCTTCTGTGCAATAAGACCTTTCACATTCTGGAACTGAAGCCTAACTAAAGGACAAAAGCAGCTGGAAGAGTAGTACAAGTGCACATTCTTCCTCCGCTGAGACTCAAGTACAACTACATGAGAATTAAGTATGAACAAAGGGATTACCAATTCTTTTAAACTAGATGACAAATATTAGACATTAAATCCCTCTCCTCAATCGATTGTAACCCACAAAAGCTCAGGCTGAAATAAATCCTAGTTGTTTATTTGTTTGTTCATTTGTTTTTGTTTGTTATACAGGTAGAAGTAGAGCAATACATCTACCTCGTTGAAAAAGGTGAAAATCCCTGTACTCTGCCTACCATCAAGATTCTTGCAATCTCTTTGCTCTGCCCGCTGTTGGTGTCTACCTTGCATCCTAAATAGACAGCAGTGCTCATTGAAAGGACCAGACTATGGTCTGAATGCACTTGACATATTTCTACTGACTACTGCCATAGGAACAGGCTTCACCAAATAAGCTGCTGGAATCAGAAACTAGCTTTGCGAATCTTATGTGAAGAATGAACACTAGGTCATGATTGGATTGAACAGGTAAACCTCTGCATTAAGGAAGATGAAAGAGTCGCTGAGACTGGAACCAAAAATAGGCTAGCAACTTGAATGCTTCTCATATATTTTATGTGTATATGTTGTATAGCTGTAATTTCTCCAATTATAGCCCTGTCCCTACAAATCTATTAGAGACTGAATTCAAGGAATGAGAACACATACTTCCACTGTTTCTGCCTCCTTATTTCTACATAATCAGGAAATGCAGTGAAAAGGATATGTCTGAACACAGAGCAGATGTACAACTTCTGTGTGTACATGAAGTATTCAGTGTACATGTGAAAGAAGCTTATATAGCTAATGATTTGCCACACAACAAAAACTCCACTGTTATGCACTCCAAAATATCTTTGTGTAAAGCAGGAACGATAACTTTCTAGGACTAGTTGAATGAATCATATTGTGTTCCTCCTCACTTTGGTCAGGCTTTTTCCTCTACTCAAAGTAGGGATTGTCCTTGAAAAAGTGATAAGTACTTTGTCATGCCATTAAGAAAAAATGAAGCTTGCAACCACATGTGTATAAAACTGTACACATAATGGGGTCAGAAAGTGAAAATACCCTGGCTGAAACCCTGATGCTTTGTGTAACAAAAAGCATAACTTTCACTCAATCCTAGTTGGTAAGTAAAAAAGAACTGCCTTGGTTCTCAAGGGTGCACTCACCCACTGCTTTGGTATGAGAATCCAAGCAGGAACTTTACTTGCCACTAGGAAAGAGTGAAACTTGCACCTTTTGTTACACAATGCAGCAGGATTTCTGTCACTATGTCATTCCAAGGAGATTCACACGTAGTAAATAATAGGCTGCATGCTCTCCACCCTTAGCTAAATATATTGTAGCAGCTTCCTGTATGATATGCCAAGCAGATTATTAAAATGTTTATTTGATAACAAAACAGATAAAAAGAAAGCAGAGTCAGATTCTGCCAGATTAGATTTAATGTCATCTTGCAACTTCCAGGTGCACAATTCATTGGTTACTCTTAAGAAACAGCAACTACATAAGAGTCCAAAATATACATGGCATTTCTATAAATACATTTGGAGATAATGGTCTATGAATTGTGAACATGTTATCATCATTATTGCTGCTTCTAAATTAAAATATATTTAATGAAGAATAACAGAAAATTACCTGATCTTTAGCCAAATAATCCGCCAATGTATTTAGAAGTTTGTAGTACACTTCAAACCATGGTAAGTAACTGAAAAGAGAAAGACAGCCCCTTAGAATACACAGAAGCATAATATAACAATTACTTCGCTTTATTGCCTTTTTGGAAAAGTTGGTGTAAGTTTGACAGAAAAAAAATAGCTCCAAGCAGTTTAAAAGGAAAAATAATCTTGATTTAGTTCTTCAAATATTTCAAATAAAAGGAAGAAGAATGTGATTAGAAAAACAAGAAAAGACTGTCTGAAACTTAACTGCAAGTTGAATAGTTTATACAACTATACTAGCATAATCACTAAACTCAGAAGAAGCCTTCTCCTGGACACACATTTTTTTAAAAAAAATCCACTGCAGATGGAGAGGTGAGACCATAGATACACGTTAGTGCTTTTCTCTGACACAGGACAAAACTGCATCAGACTGAAGGGGAGATTCCTCGAGAGTAAAAGTGGATTAATTTTCTCTTATCCTTAGAAAGCAGCACCTGCTTGCCTTTCTTCGAAAAGAGCAGTACACCTGGTTGCACACATCTGAACACAAAAATGGCAAACGGATGGTTGGAACTATTACGGATACAGAAATGGGTGTTCCATTGAAAGAAGACCAGCTGCAACCCTCAGGGTTTTTGGTGAGAAGGAGCCCTCTTTGAGTTGTCCCATCTTGAGGTGCTGGGAGAAGGTGTGTTGCAATACCCACAGTTTCAGTGGGAGGACTCTCCATTTGAACTGCATCATCCTGTGGAAGACATGCAAACCCTGGAATCTCTTTCCTTTCCTCATGTAGGACAGCCTTAGTTTGTGTGGCTGAGTCTTGTAGTTTGGGTTTGTTTTGCACAATCTCCCTAATAAAGCAGGTAGAGCACCTTCTTGGGGCCCTGGGCTGGGGCCAGTGTCCCCGCTGACCTCCTCACTTTGCCCACTTACACAGGGTTCAGGAAAGGGACTTTAGAGCAACGTCACTTATTCTGGGTTTCTCAATATTTAGCAACTCACTTGCATTCTCACCAGCTCATCTCTGTTGCTCAAACAGAGAGGGAGAAAGGGAGAAACAATGGGGTACATGGTGCCTCTTCTCTCTGACATGTACAAAAGTAGTGGGTTCACTACTGTGATGATTATTCAAACCACACTTAGCACTTCTTCCAGCGTGTTCTAGGATGTCAGTACTGTACTTAATGATGTACACAGTGTTTCCAGGTAAGTTAGCTGGTTTAAAGTGCTATGTTAACATGGTGAGATGCAACAAAAGAAAATAAGATCAGATTTTAACTGGCTCACATTATTCAAAAAGTGGCTATTGGGGAGAAAGATTTTCTGTCCAAGAAAGATTGCCCTGAATTGCGAAAACTCAGTTTTACAAATAACTTTAATTTCATTTAAAAAAGAGAGAATAATTTATCTTTCTCTCTCTTTCTCAACAACAACAGAAGCTAGGACAAACACCAATCAGAAACTTGCTGAATAAGTTCCTTAAAGGATAGAATTTACTGTCTTTTAAGGAACTTGTTGAGCATGCTTCTGTTTGGAGTTTGTCATTGATTTTGTTATTGTTGAGAGAGAGAGAGAGAGTTGAAGTCTCAAGACAATATTCTGTATTTATCATTCATTAAATACACATCCGTTCATTCAATAATACTCCACAAAGCCTAGATGCAGGCTTCACAGATTATGAAGCACAAACATAAATACACACACACAGTATAAATAATGAAAGAGTCTGGCTAATTGAATGTTGAGATACCAAATACTAGGAGGATTTTTACAGCTGGGAGGGTTCAACAGTGGTCACCCTTCACCTAGAACCATTAAAACCACAAAAATTGATACATGTGGGGAATTTGGAGCTTGCTAACTTAAAACAAAAGATCAAACCGAATTGTAAGTTGGTATGCACATAATATAACCATTACAATGCCTGAAATTCTTTTGTACAGCTCCACGTGTACAATGGTGATGATGTCATCAGCAGAATTGTTGATTAAAGGCAATTTCAGGGGGCACATGATTCATACACAATAGAATAAAATTTCATGCATGCTCCCCAACATTCCAAAGTAAGCCTTTAATCAGCAGCAATTTGCCACTGCTGATTAAATCATCATCACTGTGCATGCAAAGCTGCACAACAGGATTTGAGCCAATGAATCCTTCAGCACCCCCATCCAGGCATACATATGCACCAGCATACTCATGTCGACAAGAAACAGGGTTTTTTTAAATTACTTGTTATGCCAATCTGTTGTCAAGAGTGTTAGTATTAAGAAACTGTACAAAGGCCAGGATCCTAATCAGTCAAATACCTCATGCAATGGACTGTAGCAGAAGGGGACTGACATTTTTGCTGCTCACACATGGAGGCATTCAGTACCTTGTTGAAGGCACCCCTTGTTGACAGTGATCACTGCTTGCAGAACAGCTGGAAGCAGTGATCCTCTGCTACTATGCTGGCAAGGCATTTTGCTCTGCTGGTATTGAACAGGATCTTGGTTATAACACTTATTATTTCTTCTAATGCAGATCTAAAGTAGGGGAGGGATTTACTATACCTTCATTCCTAGTACAACCCACCATCAGATCTAACAAAGGCTGTCACCTCAGAAACAACTTTGTCCTGATTTTACCCCTTCCAAATTATGTGTCCCCCCCATACATTACTGGTTTGAATCCTGGGTATTTGAATGGAGTTCATCTTATATAAAAGGTTATGCCAGCCGCCGCCTCCCGGCTACAAGCTTCCATAACATCAGAAAGCTTAATCTGGACAACCATACAGGCTGGTATGAGATGAGACCTGGGAGACTAAAGCTAAGGGAATCACTAACAAGGGAGCAGCTAATCAGTTCTGATAAAACAAGGATTCCTCCTTCTTCCTGAATAAGTGGGAATGTTTTCTAATGACACTAGAACAGTATTATGGATCCCATACATTTTTTCTAGTGTAGCAGAACCTGCCATAGAAAAATGTAGTATGTGGAATTTTAAATTATTATGTACAGGTGTGAACATAAGACGAGAATGTTGGCAACCACCCCCAACAATTTCCTATCCATTTTTTCCCCTCAGCTTTTATTCCTTTAAACTTGAAAATTATTGTGGGAGAAAATAATGTTTATTCTCTGAACCCAAATATAAGAATCTTATTATGTTTGACATTTGCCATATTAGAGACAATGATATGACTAAACCTCATAGTAGCAATCCACTGCATAAAGTTAGTTAAAACTTCATGTTATCAACTATCACCAAAAAGTTTGATCACAAAACTAGCTTAATCAGCAATGTCCTAATTTTGGAGGTTCAACAAATTTCCTCCTTGCCATGTAAAGCACAAAATCTGTAAAATAACATCTGCAAAATCAATAACGGATGTGGAAATGTTATGCTTTTAAAATGCATTAGATTCTACCTAAAACATGGCTCTTACTGTCATATAAACAATGGCACCAGATATTTCATTGCTAATTAAAAACATATTTCGCATATTCTTTTAATCCAAGGAGCCACAAGGCAGGCGTTCAGGCTTTCATTCAAAGTCATTCTTCAGCTTTGTTGCACTAAGTAGACTTCCACCTCGCTTGTGCTTCTACTACAGTTCTGATAAAGCTTTTATATTCACAAGTCAAAGGTTAAATAAAGGAAAGGAAATGTTTTCTGTCAAACAGTCAGGTAACCACTAACAGTCCTGAACTATCAGCAGGAATCTAACTTCTAGTAATCAAATAAAACTAAGGAAACCGCCTTTCCGTAGCTAAATGTCTAATGTCTAGGGGCTACTTTCTGTCTGGAAAATTGACACAAAATGTGTAAAATTGAAACATTCTGCTTCTGAGGGATTTGCCTAAAGGAAGGGGGGAGCTTCAAGCACAGTCTGAGATGAAAAACTACAAAGGCTTCCCAAATAAACCTGTCTACCTTATTGAACATTTCATTTAGAAACCTAGGTGACAATTTTACAGCCATAAAATTTCATTAATCAAATCCAAGGCTGAAATTTTTAATGGTACTATCTGCATTTCTCAGGATGTTTAAGGTCTGCAAGAAACACAGACAGTTGTTTAACAAAATGAGCCTCAGTGAAATTATGTTCCTGTACTCCATTAAAATGATTTCGGGAGATTTATATCTGTGCTTCTGTGTCCTATGTCAGGAAATATTGCCTACACTTGTCTAACAACAGAAATACTCCAAAGAGTGTTTTGTTAACAACCTAACGAACGGAATTTTTGCTTTTGAACCGTCAGTAGAGTGAAAAATGAAATCTAGAAACACAGTTTAAGACCCTCAGACACAAAAAGGTTTTTAAAAACTGTTAAATCCATATTAAATAAGTGGTTGAACGGAAACCCTAGCGACAAAAGAAATCCAAACTGTGAGCTCAGTGAAAGATACAGACTGCAAAGTGCCAAGTTGTAAAGCAAGAAGCCCAAAAGCTTATTGTATATTTGCAATCTTTTATTTGGCATTCTAATTATGCTGTTCATTTCCTATTCATTTGCATTGCTTTCTAGCTTTAGAAGCTAGAATGCAGGAGAACAATTAATCTTATCATTTTTTTTCTCACTAAAAAGACAGATCTTTTCAATGTTACAGAGATGAAGCTCTCTGCATGTTATAGCTGACACATGGTCACCTCTGAAATCATACCCCTATGTTTCTTTTTCTTGACTACCATATTGTTTACTGTTGTAACACCAACAGATTGTGCATGCCTTCATAACTAGCAGCCAAGGAAATGAAGCAGGAGTGGTCTTAACCGACCAGACAGGCGGGATATTAAATATTTCCACAAACTGTAAATCCTTCACCATATTGATTGTTTTGCCCCTCAGCAAGTTCCTAGGGCAGAATATTAATTTTATACTAATAAAAATCAGTCTTTTCTACAATCAGAATCATAAATAAATAAGCATGTGATAGTGTTTTGCCTTGTTTTTTTCTTTTATTTCCCTAAATACTTGCTTTTGAGCACATTTTTATGTATTCCCTCCTGATTTTTCTGGGACATTCATGCTAGTACAGAAACTTACTTGGTTAT